CGGAACGGGTTTGCTCATCAGTCATCGCTTGTACTTTTAATGTTTCATCAGCTTTCTTGATTCGAACTATTTTCCGACTGCCTTCTGACCTGATGCAGTGGATCCCTTACATGAAATCGAAATGGAATAGCCAATACGTGGTTTACAGTATAATAAAACATACTGTAGCGATAAATTCTAAATTGATGCTCTCCTTTGGTCATGCCACTGAATGCGAGTCAAAGTTGCCATTCCGCTGGATGATTAAGCATTGGAGGTAAAATTTACTTTGACCGCTGATATCTGATATCAGTATCAGTATCTGATATCACCTTGATTACTGATAACTTACTAAAAGCCAACACACTGATCGAACTGTAATCAGTTAATTAATCCAGAAAGTCAGTTTAAAATTTTTCACTTCGATACTTCGAGTAGACGTCACTTCAAAAACGGCCAAAAGCATACATCTGATCTGACAAACGTCGATATGTGCAAATGTGACACTTGAGTGCGAATTGTGTATGGTGTTGAGAAAACTTTTGCATGTAGCTCATGCTGCAGAAAAGCGATGGATTATCTGTTTATCATTATTAAGAGTTGCTAAAAAGATCCTCAATGCACAACTCAGAGAGACCCTAGTGCCAACAAGAAACCCATACTCGGTGTTGGTTTATATAGAACACTGTACTTTCAAAAGCAGAATGATTTGGCCATGTGAAAACAAAACTCCACAGGGAAGCTACCCTCGGCGTTTAGAGTAGCATTGAAGAGGTAAAGTGGAAGAGAAAAGAATTGGATGGCGCTTCGGTGTAATGCACAAAGTGAACAATATGATGTCGTGCCTGAATATTAAGGAGGAAGTAGACTCGTGTAGCGAACACTAATGAAAGGGAGGAATTTAGGAAGAAAAGAATTATCATAAATCTGTCATCGGTTATTCACTCACTTTCACTTAAATCACACATGGTCAATGATCAATTTGTTTAAGCTTAGTAATTGACTTTCTAGCGCCCTTCCAGCTGCTGCAACCACTCATCGAGCACTGCAATGTCTTTTTCTTTTCTGCGTGATCTATTGTATTGGCCATGTTACTCGGCACAAAGATGGCTAATGTTCCTTTGTTATTTTACGCATACCTTCCTCAAGGAACTCTGAAGCGGTGTACAAAAAATACTATGGTTTCTAACAGATAAATATCTGATTTGGCTTTCCAGACATTGTCTAGAAGAAGGTCCCCTCACTAGAAGCAGAGGCGGGAGTCGTTCGACTACAATCGACCGAAATATTTATTTTCAGAGATGGGCTGAAGAAGTCCCATCATTGTAAATTTATCTTCTGAAGGACGAATGACTTTCCATCTGTCATCTGGTTTCCAGTGTAATCGGCATTATCATCAAGTACATTTATCATTTCACTAACTCCACTAACTTTTTCATTTGCATCTGCTTCGATGCTTTAATTCATTTCATTGTGTTGGACTCAGCTACCGATAAATCAAGTACAGTCTTCCCATGGCAGGCGAAGCGCGAAGACAGGAATTAAAATTTATTTCATATGCTCTATCATGATAGCCTTAAGATGCTCCGCTAACGAAGTGGTACAGCTGAAGATTGGCAGATCTTCTTACGCCGTCATGGAAGATCAGTCAGGAGAAGGATGCTCAAGTTACAAACCCACAGGAAATATACGAACTATCGTCCCCAATAATCTTCAACGAA